CAAAATCACTGAACCTGCTGGCTGTGCACACTTACACGGGAAATCAGGGTCTCCGAGGTGCCGTGAAAAGCCAGAGGAGCCTGTCAGTTCTTATAAAGCCCAGCTCTGGAGAGGTGTAACTCCACTCAGGAGCGCCTGGTCTGAAATGGCCTGGCACATTTTGATGGGCAGCCAGAGTCTCGATTGTGCACGACTAGCTGCTGACTGGCATTGTGCAAAGCAGAAAGCGCCGATGTGCCCATTTGCACGGCAATTACCAAGCAGGGTGTTTTGAGAGGGGGCCAAGTTTCATTGCAGGGATACATAGTCTGAATAATGCACTGAACAACACTTCATTAATAGAGACAACATCTTTCCGTTATCAAAGTGAATTTGCAATGAGGCAACAAGCAATTAGCGCATTTGCGCAGCGTCCTGGGTAATGAATCTCATGAAATATGGACCGATCACAAGTGATGTCTTTGTCTAGTCTTGCCTCATTGACGGCGCCTTGTTATTGATGGTACACGTCAACCGACTTGGAATCGGCGGTTAGAGCATCCGCTGATGAAAACGTACGGCTTGCGGCCAGACCTCGTGCACTCGGTGAAGTGTGAAAGCAAATTGGTCAGCACGATCTTGTGTAATAGTTTGCGGTCTAGCGAGGCACTTTCTGTAATAAAATCCGTCTTCGTGATGTTCCTCAGATATAAAGCAGGCTAACAGATAAACCAGATAATCTCCTGCCAACCCGCCTTCTAATATCCCTGAGATATCCAGATATATAGCTTTTAATGTGCCTCTCTCTGCAGGATGGCTTGCAGGATAGTTGCAGCCTGGGTTTGTTACTTGAGCCGAGAACGAACATTATACATTTGGATATTTGTATTCGGACAATCTCATTAATGTAGCGCCAGCCATTTCCAGTTGATTGCGGCATAAAACCAGCCCTCAGTACCTGAGCCACTGATTTACAGGTAGCCAAACAATGCAGGAGTCACATGTCTAAGGTTGAAGGGAGATGATTTCATCAAACAGCATGCGGTGTTACGCGCATGATTAAAGTCGCGGCATACATGGTGGGAGATGCGTACTTAGTTCAATGCTAACAAGAAAAACAGTGACATGTTTCTTTCTCTTCCCTACCCCCTTTTCCAAAAAAAGTGCATCATAAAAGCCTTGGCAGTAGCTCCGAGCTGTAGGAAAGGATACCTGGTGGTAAATACAGTGGGTACGGAAAGTATTCAGACCCCCTTCCCAAAAAGACTCATGGCTGTATTAGATCAAAAGGGTGCTTCTACTAAATACTGAGCAAAGGGTCTGAATACTTAGGACCATGTGATATTTCAGTTTTTCTTTTTTAATAAATCTGCAAAAATGTCAACGATTCTGTGTTTTTCTGTCAATATGGGGTGCTGTGTGTACATTAATGAGGAAAAAAAATTAACTTAAATGACTTTAGCAAATGGCTGCAATATAACAAAGAGTGAAAAATTGAAGGGGGTCTGAATACTTTCCGTACCCACTGTAATTCAAAGCTATGCTGTGCATGTTTAAGTGCGCCAAGAAAAAAAGGAAGCGGCATGTGTGTTAGTCTGCACTGGGGAGCTCTATGGGACTGCTTCAACCAGAAAGAAGAAAATGCTTCTTTTCCCTCTCTCACCTTCTTTGGTGTTTGCTTTCACATGCACCCTTACTGCCGCCTTCTCTCGTGACAACCTGCTAGAGCCCTCGGGGCAGAGGGTGAGGGGAGACGGATGGGTTTGGTGGGAATGGCGTCCCTGTCCCTGTCCCCTCTGCTATCATATCTTGGGTATCACGGCTCTTGATCTTTATCTCACAGTCAGGTTTATCTGTCAAGTCCTTGAAAGTGCAGGCTCCCTTCACGTCAGCTATGCACGAAGCTGAAACACAGAGACTCCAGATTAGAGCAGGCTGCCGGTTAGCTTTATCTTCTTAGCCTCCTGTTGCAGTGAAATTGGCTACGGAGGGCTCCAGAGAGAAAAAAACCCAGACCGTGTTGGTCAGGTACACCAGTGAAAGAGCACTGCTTATCTCAAGTTGGCTTTCGGTATGAAAAAAAGAAAGATCACAATTCTCCTTGGTCTCTCAGGGGTCAGCCTGGATTGGTTCCAATCGAGCGCTTGTTTTATTGAAGAACAAAACCGTTTTCTGCAGATCTTTTTTGTGTGTGTGTGTGTGTGGTTTGAAGGTATCATCCTTCACGGAGTGTTGTGGGAAGGAGAGGTGAGCTGAGAAAGGATTTAGACAGATCAATGCGCCCCTGTTTGAAACGTGTGCCATGGGCAGCGAATCCTCACTTTTATTGAATTGCGAGGACAGTGGCAAACATGTCCAAGAACCATCAGTGAAGTATGGCTAATATAAATTAAATGTGATTTTGAGGATTGACATGGATTTATTTAGTGTGTTTACCTGTGCACAATTTGCTGCTACAATGCAATTATGCTTCTGCATGGTCTCCAGGGCATTGCTATGCATGTAAGGTGTTCTCCAAGGGTCTTGTCGGTGGTTGCTTATTGTTTTATTCAAAATACCCCATAACCCAAGTCTCTTTTCCAAGTTTCTTGTCCGTAGGTAGGTAGTCTTCTTCACTGTGGGATTTTTGAGTTTGGGCGAATAAAAGTGCTTTGGAAAGCACCACTACTAAATACATTCAAACGTTAAAAATATATACTGACCTAGCTGCTCAAAGCTCAAATCTGAAATTCCTAAACAACCTAACAGTCTAGCCAAAGACGCATCTGCTGTTGCTCAGCTTAGATTTTTTTATTCTCATTGTCTGTCTTAGCTTCACCTGACTCTGAATTTCTTTCTGTCTAGCCTTGTCTCTAACCTTCACATGATGTCCCCCTCGTGGTTTTCGTTTCTTAAGATTCCCACATCTTCATCCTCCCTTGCCGTGTGATTGGCAGCTTGTATTATCTGTGAATCTTCACCATGCGCTTTCTCTAGCTAAGCTCGGGGAAACTTAGAGAGCTTCTGCTATCTTCTCGAGCCTGCGGCCAGCATCGGGGCAGAGGAGCTAAAGCTGACACTGGGGCTTGGGTCTCTTATCTCCCTCATTTTCTACAAGAATCCGGCATCCTCCCCCATCAACGAGTTAATTGCTAGAGGACAGAAAAATTGCAGAGACCCAATCTCCATTTAGCCCTTCACACCAAGAAAAAGAGAAAATCTGTTTTAGCATTTTATTATTATTAATATTTATGCCACAAGCGCCATATGTTGTCACGCATAGGAATGTATATACAACCTGCATCCTGCAGCATTCATGTTGACCCACTTACAGAAGAGCCTGGATTGTGGATGCTGCAGAGGTTGCGTACACCTGCCGGAGACAGAGAGGTCATACGGGACATCCTCTTTGGAGCCTTAGTTCAGAAGTTCTCGATCGAGATGGGCTGCTTGAGAATTTGTAACATGTTTAGAGTCTTGTTAAGAAGAGGTGCAACTCCAAGGTTGCCGATGTGTGGTGCAATCTAAATTTTCACATTAGAGATTAATACCTTATTTACGTAGCGTGCCTCCTGCTGATTTGTTCTTAGATGTGAAAAAAACATAGTTTAAATCAGTAGGATGTCAAGGCATGTTAGCTGATGGGATTAATAGTATAGCATGAGATTTTCATGGGTGTGGGTGTATGTGGGAAAGCCTGTGACATCCAACGGTGATAATTAGTGGAGAAACCAGTCTCAGTGTGCATAATGCTGACCTTAATTACATGTTAGCGAAGTTGCCTTAAGGAAAGCCTAATTTGAATCAAGTAGGTCCCTACATAGAATATTATTGTGTGGTATGATTGACTATGCTAAACTATCTAACAGGAAGTAGGCCAAATGAGAGTTTTATGAGTGTTCCCGAGCTTATATCTTGCACTGATAATCATGTTTAAGATGCATTTGATTCTTGTGATGTCGGCGTGACAGTCAATCTCCACTTTGATAGGGTGGATTATTGTTATTAATAGTATTAGAAGACACATCTGATTGAATCGGTCTTCTAGGCTGATTGAAGATTTGTAGACTGGAAAACATCATAATCTTTAAGATATTTAGAATCTTCATTAAAGATCTATTGTGCGTTTTAAGTTATTTACTTTCCAAAGAAGCTTCCTTGTGCTTTTATTCTCTCAGTATCTCAGTTTCTCATTTTTCTCCTTTGGGTTCTAATTATTGTTGGATAAAAACCTTTTTCGTATGCCACAGTGGCAACACTACGTCTGTGTTTCTTCTCCCAGGGTAGAGGAATTGCAAGACACATTCATTCCCAATCCAGACATAGTGTCTGCGTCCCACGGTATTCCAGTTCTCCAATTTGGGAGTTCAGAGTGTACATGTTTTTTTGCCAGGTGAAGTATTAAAATGCATTGATGCTAAAGCCAGATGCCAAATGCAAAATTCTGTAAAAAGAACCAAATCACCCACGTGATGATTGCACAGCTCAAAGGCATCTCTTGTACAACAGCTTTTGAGCAGTTCAATTAATTATTATTATTATTATTTTTGTTAGTAATGCTTGCACACCTTTAACCTAAGTATTACACTTCAGCATGTAACTTGCTCTCAAATTGTGCAGCTTATTGGGTGTTTTGCACAAACGTGTGGTTCTCTTTCAGCTGGCAGACAATAATATTGTCAGCAGCCAGATTTGTGTGGAATTCTCATTTGAATTGAGATTTTTTATTTTTGATTTTAATGTAGCAAACAGGATACACACATCTGATTGAATCGGTCTTCTAGGCTGATTGAAGATTTGTAGACTGGAAAACATCATAATCTTTAAGATATTTAGAATCTTCATTAAAGATCTATTGTGCGTTTTAAGTTATTTACTTTCCAAAGAAGCTTCCTTGTGCTTTTATTCTCTCAGTATCTCAGTTTCTCATTTTTCTCCTTTGGGTTCTAATTATTGTTGGATAAAAACCTTTTTCGTATGCCACAGTGGCAACACTACGTCTGTGTTTCTTCTCCCAGGGTAGAGGAATTGCAAGACACATTCATTCCCAATCCAGACATAGTGTCTGCGTCCCACGGTATTCCAGTTCTCCAATTTGGGAGTTCAGAGTGTACATGTTTTTTTGCCAGGTGAAGTATTAAAATGCATTGATGCTAAAGCCAGATGCCAAATGCAAAATTCTGTAAAAAGAACCAAATCACCCACGTGATGATTGCACAGCTCAAAGGCATCTCTTGTACAACAGCTTTTGAGCAGTTCAATTAATTATTATTATTATTATTTTTGTTAGTAATGCTTGCACACCTTTAACCTAAGTATTACACTTCAGCATGTAACTTGCTCTCAAATTGTGCAGCTTATTGGGTGTTTTGCACAAACGTGTGGTTCTCTTTCAACTGGCAGACAATAATATTGTCAGCAGCCAGATTTGTGTGGAATTCTCATTTGAATTGAGATTTTTTATTTTTTATTTTAATGTAGCAAACAGGATACAAGTTGTAATTTTAATTTCAATGTTAGAACAAGATTGAAATTAATTCAAAGAAATTTATAGAAAATAGGAATGAACTTTTGTGGACCAGGGTGCAACACTCACCACTCAAATGTTCTTCATAAAATGTAAAAATCCAGTTTATGACAATTGTAATGTCTGTAACCAGAGCAGAACCGCTGCTGTGGGAAACCGACAGGAGGGTGATTGTTTAACAAATTTTGTTGTTTTGTACCCTGCTAGTGAACTTGTGAAAATGACTCAATCTAAACTCAGCTTCTGCTGAAGACTGTGGCTTCAAATATATTTTTCTAGGTATTTTTTGTTGCTACTTATCTTTGCTTCCTCCTGTAAAACATAGCAGTGCCTTTATCATGTTTTCATGTGCATATAGTAATTTACAGACACTTTTATCCAAAGTGACTTACAGTGGATTCAGGATATGTATTTTCAATGTACATTGCTGTTACTAGCATCAAATTTAGCCGCAGGAACGCTAATCAGGCTAATGTGGACTCATAGCCGTACTGTAGCTATCAGAGTTTAGGAGTGTTTTACACTTTCTGAACACTCCTATATTCTGGTCGCCATGAAACACTTTTCCAAAATCATCTGTGGCGTATATGTTTAATCAGATTATGAAAACATGGATCTAAATGGTAACTGGTGTTATATAAAGCTACTTAGCAATTCAGTCCCCGTCGGCTCATCTCTCTCTCTCTTTTTTCTCCGCCATAGTAGCTGTTAATTATATGTTTCCATTGTTGTGCTTTTATAGAGTAGCTCATCCAGTAACATAAATTAATGATTTACACCAATATGTGATGCGTCTGCTGGGCAATCAACCCTGGTTGTGGAGTAAGTGAGCACTCTTACCTTTTCTGTTGGGCTTGTGCAGTGTGTGTGTGTGTGTGTGTGTGTGTGTGTGTGTGTGTGTTTTCTCTCTCTCTCTCTCTCTGTGTGTGTGTGAGTTCTCTCTCTCTCTGTGTGTGTGTGTGTGTGTGTGTGTGTGTGTGTGTGTGTGTGTGTGTGTGTGTGTAAGAGACTGCACTAGATGGGGAGGGCGACCGAGCTCCAGGCTCCTGAATTAAGATTAGACTTGTTCCGACCTGCACCCTACAGACAAATGTAATGTCATTTGTCCTTTGTAGGATATTCTGCATTTAGGCGTTCTTTGGAAAGGCTGTGCCTCATACTGGCTGTTTACAAATAATAGTGCCCATGAATTATGCCACATTAATGTTGGAGTATACATTCTGTAACCCTGAGGATGGAAATGATTTTTTGCTTATGAACTCTATTTTGAAATGCAGCGTCCTTTTGTTATGTGTGAATTTTTCATGCTAATTGGTTTTTTGATAGGCGCTGTGTTTTGAGGGTTTTATTTTGCATCATAGCTTTAGAATTCTCTACTGTAGCAATTGAGAGACGAGTGTGTCTCGCGTTTGGATCTGAAAAGCAGTTCAAGGAGACAGAATGCTGAGTGTAGTCGAGTCTGCTTTGCTGAGACGACTGTTAAAAATGTTTTACCACAACTTAGCATTTCGGGTAAGCTAGTGAACCTCAAACAAACTGCAACTGGTACAAAGATGTGCAAAAAAGAGTTTCTCATGCAGGAGTACAGTCAAAGATTGATTTAGAGAGTGAAGTGGTAGATGTTTTTATTCATCGGACATCCTTTAAAAGTCAACGTAAAATACAAAGTGTCCCTTTTTACTCTATTATTAAAAATTTTGGTCTTCTTATGCATAATTCATTAGTGCATGCAATTCCAAGAAGAAGCATATCTGTCAGCTTAATCTTAATCAAAATATAAAATCTTGCTTCGCCTCTAAAAACATTTTTGATCTCTTAGACTGAAAATAAAAGCTATTTAGGCTTTTTTTTTTTTTGTTGCTATTTTAGCAAATTTACATTGAAGTCTGTGTCTGTTCTAGAACAGAAAGCCCACTTTTCAAAATTAAATTAATTCTACATGAATAAAATCAAGTCCATTTTGTTTCTTGTTTGTCTTCTTTCACATAGAAATATGTCATGTAACAAAAGTAAATGGACTATGAATGATTTTTTATGTTGATTTTTAAAAATAAACTGATGTTCCTCTTCTAGCATTACAATTCTGAAAAGCAGTCTTACCTCAAACTTGCTTCATCTTTTGAGCCAATGTTGTTTTGTCAAAGGGTTGGCGGTTCTCAAACAAGCAGAGAAATGGTCTAAAAAGCCAAATAGTCCATGTTAATGCAGGAATCAACCTACACATGGTTTATTCATGGTTATCGTTTTGCATATTAAACTGGGTTAGAAGTAGGCCTATTTTAACCTCAAAAACTTTAGAGTTCACCTTACACTTATTGGCATTGATGGTTTCACAAAGAACCTTAAACATCCATGGAGACTTTCCATTGCACAAAAGGTTCTTTTTAGTGAAAGAAGGTTCTTAAGATGATTAAAATGCTCTTCACACTAAGAAAAATGGTTCTTTTCAGAAATATTCTATGGTGAAACTAGTCCTTCTATCACCACAAAATGCACAATTTGGAACCTTTTTTTTTTTTTTTTAAATACACGAACATGTATTTCACTTTTGCTATTGTGCTGTTATAGATTCAGCAGGCTTGCGAAACGCATTGTGCTGCAGTCTTCTAAGATTTTGAGATTTTGTTTACTTTTTTCTGAAATTACCTTCATACACTTCAATGGTCACACATACAGTACAATCCTCCTTCTCAAATACACTTGAGATTATTTGTTTTAACCCACTAGACAACTCCCTTCTCAGATCATTCCATTGCTCAGATGAAAGCCACTTGTCTCTTCTGATTATCTTCAAGCCTACAAAAATGGGGTGTGGGGCTGAAAAGAGGAAAGGGATGGAAAGAGAGAGAGAATGAAAGTGAAAAGAATGAGTAATGCTTCGGAAAGCCTGAAATTAAACTGCTTAATTATGCATCCTTCATACATTAATCTTTCATGACATGGGAACTAACATTTTCAATTATACAACGCTTCCAAACACTGGAAAAACTGGAATATAAGAGACGGCTGGAAAAATATATGAAAGGCAAAGAGACAGAATACACATCCTGAGAAAGACGATAAGCTGGAGGAATTTCATATTCTTCTCTATCGTCATTGTTATTGCTCTTATTGTTGTCAAACGACTTACTTCCTCTGGCTTTCCCGTTCTGTTGCTCGCTCTCCGCATTGTCATTAACAGTGTAATGGCACGTGATGTTTTGGGCTGTTTGCTGGATATAATTACCTGATGAAATGTTAATGTGCAGTGGCAGAAGGCGTAGCAGGGAATAGAGTGAACTAAATGGGCTAAAGAGATCTCTGACCATGATCCGCTGAAGTGCAACAGTGGGAAATGGGTGAATCCAGGTGTGATTGTGTGTGTGTTTGCTGCTCATTGGGTTTGGTTGCCTTGATCTTTACATTAACCACCCTGCTAGGCAAGCTATGTGATCTCCTGTACAGCCTGCTCAGCATGTGATGCTATCGAAGTTGACTGATTATGATAATACAAAGGTCACCAAATGGATTGCATACTTGTAGGGTGTGTATTAGAGATGCACTGATATAAATCTGTCTGTTTTTGTTAAGCCGAAAATTTTATATTGAAATGAACACATAATAAATATACACAGTACACACATATAGTATGTAAACAAACTTTTATTTTGAATGCAATTAATCGCAATTAATTTTTATGTTTTGAAAATGTTTGTTAAATTTTAATTTTGAATGTTTTGCATCCCTGGAATTATTATTTTTTTAATCGTTCTGTTAAGTTAATGCACTTTGAACAAACTTAAATGAGCAAACAATGAAGACTTGTATTTTTTATTAAGCAACATAAACTATGAGCAATAGATTTTTTTTTACAGTATTTATTAATATTTCTTCATCCAAGTTAGCTAATGCATTAATAATGTTAATGAATATTAGCCATTTATTAGTAAAATAATTACATGAAACTGGTAACATGTAACAATAAGGTTATTGTTAAGTTGTTACCAGTTTCTTGTATTAGTTTTACTGATAAATGGCTGTTTTTATTTTATTTTATTTTAAAATAACAAATAATAAAACAATAAAGCTCTGTAGTCAATACATTTGTGCTACAGGTGAGTTTAGGCATTCGCAGCATAATGTGCAATATAAAAAATGTATATACATTTTTATTTTTTCTAAAGATTACATTTAACAGTGTTATTTAATTATTAGTTAATTTAGTTATTTAATTATTAGTTAATAACTGTTTTTAAAGATATACTTTATCAGCGAGTATTACATAAGTGAACATTACATTACATTGTACTTTAAATATAAAAATAGAGGAAACAAGCATGTAGAATTAATATTGACTACTAAATATTTTTTGTTTGTTCATTTATATTTTATTATTTATTTATATCTTATAAACCATAACCAAAATGGTTTGACGAACACCAGTTTCTTTCTTTATGGATTTCATTTGGATTGTCAGTCATAAACCAGATAGGTTGCATCAGTATTTTTGGTTTAATTTTCTGGAAGTGAAAGACTGTCCATTTTATTTTTGTAAATTTGTACGATTCAGGAGCATCTTAACGTTATCAGACATTGCCCCGAAACTCCAATTTTGATTTAAAGGGATTTTTAAAAGGTAATTTCATCCACAACAGTATAGAAGTCATCCTCATTCTGGACATTTGTGAGCGATTTTTCTATTCTTGCACATCTCAGCAGCTCACCGTGTCATCTGCAGATCAAGTCTCATGAAGCATGCAATCAATAAGACACCACAAGCAGCAGGGTAAACAATTCCTGAAGTCTGGCAGCAGCGGACGGACTTCATCAGTGATGGCCTCCTTCCGAGATACGCCCGGTGCCTTTTGGAGATGGGCTGCATGTTGACCCAGTGTCAAGTCCGTGCTGCAGGAGGGCATTCCGTCCGCTCCGCCAGGGCAGCGTGGGGTTTCACAGCACGCCTGCTTCCGGACCGCTCCAGAACAAAGACCCTGACTGGGGCCAAGACCTGCCGCCGCTCCTCTGAGCTCGTGCCACAAGCAAACATACACAATCGCACACTGTTGAACACACCCTCAGACATATACACGGGACGACTCTCTTGGGGCCCTTTTGGCCCAGCATATGACGGTTCCCAACAATAGCCTTCAGCAGATGCCTGCGGTCCAGAGCCAAACAGATGGGAGGACCGGAGTGGATTTGGACAGGCGAAGCGTCGCCCGCAGCGCCAGCTTAAGACCCGAGGCTGTCACAGGAGTGTATGGAGATAAATGAACATGGTGGGGGGCAAAACAGAGGGCAGTGCCAGGGTCCAGGAACAGCTTGCAGAGGGACAGGCTTGAAAGAGGCAAGGCACACGCATAGGAAACCAAGGGCGAGCTGGATGCCACCAAGACTAATCCTCCACCTGAGGGCAGGGAGATGGTTGTGCCTGAGGCAAGAGAAAACATGAGTGGACGACATGCTGGAAAATTAAACTTGGAGGCCTTTATTGGGTGCATGAGAAACTATGAATTACTGAAATGAAGCAATACTTACAATGCATGAGCTTGGTAACTAGCCTTGATCTTTATGTTGTCCGTCCCACTGTGAGAGTTACGTGACTTGCAGTACAACCACTTGCTTGACTGCGCACAGAGGGATTTTACATAGACTGTGATAACGATGTAACAGAGGTCAATAAATTCACTGAATATATGCAGTATGTGTTCTTAAAGATCCCATGAATGGTTCAGAGCATGCAATACAGTGCAACTGGTGGCTCTCAGAAGTAAAAAATTTGTATTTTTAAATGTATTTTTAATGGTACTGTATAAACCGTTCAAGATAGACCTACCATGAGCTTTGAGGTTTTTGATTAAAGGGGTCCTATTATGTTTTTTCACTTTTTCAACTTTAGTTAGTCTGTAATGTTGCTGTTTGAGCATAAAAAAGATCTGCAAAGTTACAAAGCTCAAAGTCCAATTCAAAAGGAGATATTTTATTTAACAGAAATCACTTTTCAAAAACTACAACGAACGACTCGTTTGGACTACAACGCATATTTTCCGGGATTTGTGATATCACAAATATCTACGAATGGGACGAGACCTGGTTGAGCTGCACTAGAGAAGGCAACAAGTGATATCACTAAGACGGAGACACGCTAGCCTTCCCAAGGCAGACGATCTTAGAGTGGTTACCATCATCAGGGCTCAAATTGATTTGATTTTGACGCAATAAGGTGGCGCAACTATAACGACATGTGAATAATCCCGCCCACTCTAAAGCGGTACTGAACTGCAGTGGAAACGCAACCCGTGCCGAGCCGAACCGTGCCGTGCCGTACTGAGCCGTGCCGAGTCGTACCACGCAGTGGAAAAGCTCCATTAGAGTGGTTACAATCATCCGGGTTTAAATCGCGCTCAAATTGATTTGATTTTGATGCAATATTTACCCTGAAGCTCGCAGGCGCTGTAATAATGTAAAATATGTGAAAAAATAATGTTTTTCGAACAACCTAGTATGAGAGTCTGTTCTAGTACACCCCCAAAACAACATCAAGACTTATTAAAAGAGCATAATAGGACCCCTTTAAGGTGATACATTTTTTTTTTGAAGCTATCTCATTTTCTGCTCATGTCTTCTGGACTAGGAATGATGTTAGCCACAATCCAACCAATTTCTGATACATATATTAGCTAAAAATCTACAAAAATCAATTTGGTCAGTCCCCACACTCAAAATTGTTAAACATTTATGTGTGTGTGTATTATTTAGCAGTTAATTTAAAATGGCTCATAAACAAATGGCAATGCATTGACATTTTTATACTGCACCTATGTCTTCGATTAAATTATGTACTTCGCAGTGCTTCATGCACAGAAAAAAAATTGTGTAGAAAAAAATTTGAAATTGCTAGTAAATTTCACAAGTACAATGAAACAGCAAGTAACATTAAATTAACCTTTAAATTCTGAAATAGAAAAAAATGAAATAGTATTTTCTTGTAAAACATGCTCCAGGAATCCTTGTTTAATTTACAATTAAAAATCTATTTTACAGTGTGGGATTGTAGTTTTAAGTACACGCAATATGGTAGTGTTTTTCCCCAAGAAACATTCATACGCTTAAAATAAAAGGTTGTAATTGTGCAATTATTATTTTTTTGGTTGGTTCATGGCTTTGGACTCTTGGACTGAATATATTTTGGAAATAATAAATAAATAACGAATGAGAAAACTACTTCTATATATGGCTTAAAAAGTGTTTTGCACTTTTGTTTTGTTTCTGTTGCACTCTGTTGTCTTTCCTACAGTATGAATATAAATGAATGACAAAGCAAATATATATTTACAAGTGGAACGAAATATGGCAGAAATGCTTATCTATAAAATGATCAAATTAATATATAATGTAATATAATCTGCATCAGTGAGCAGGAAGCAAGCCTGTAGCAAATTATGTAAAATTAATAAATTTCATGGTATGCTTTATGTAACAAAAACATTAGTTTTGATACCATGTGTAAATAAATTATAGAATATATATACATATTCATTATTTAAAATTCAGATGTAGTTATCGGGTCTATTGTCCACATTGTATACACTCATATATGCATAAGGTCATGTGTTCAATTCCCAAACTTGTTTATTTTATATAAATACACATTATGCATGTGGCAGATACTTGCATCCCATTTAATCATGTGTTTGATTCCCAGGGAGAGCATGATATATATCTAAATTCATCCCATCACACCCCCCCACACACACACACACCCTGGGAATCGAACCTATGACCTTACTGTTGCTCGGTGAAGCTATTGTCAAATTAGTATAACTCACAGGCTCTCATGAATTATTGCTTTCTTAATTGCAGTTGATTGCTATATATTTTTATGCAATCCAGAATGAAAACTGTTTGGTTAGTGTTCACAGGAAGACGTTTCCACTGGTGTCCGTTGATCTGGGTTGCGGTGTGTGCGCGTGTGTTCTCACATGGCCAGAATCAGCTGAAGTGAGCAGGTCAGGGATGTTCCCCTTGAAATGCTCCCAGGATGCTGACTCCAACAGACCTGTGATTAGCTTTCCGCTGGCAATGAGAGGTAATCTAAGGAGGAGAGGGTACAGCGGCCTAACTGCTACACACAAGCAAAACACACACACTTGCACAGATACATTTATGCCAAGCCCCACACTTTCCTACATCAATATTCAACACTTGAACACAAATACATGCTAGTAGACACACACTTAATTACACTTTTTCAATTACAGGCTGTACTTCGCACGCATGCACGCATTACCCTCACACTCGTGTCCCGAATGGCATAATGACTCTGAGAGCGCTACAGTGGACGGAGTGCTTACGGAGAGTAATTTAAGAGCCGGCTGAGCGGATGAGACCAGGGTCACGGGGAGACCCAGAAGGGTGTCCGTTATTAAACCGAAGGACTCTACAGAGAGCGGAGATGGAAGTTGCAGTGTGACATCACTCAGGGAGACTGATAGACAGAGGAAGACAGGAAAGAAGGGGGAGGGAGGCTTGATGTAAAAGTGTAATGAATTCCTTATGGCACAGCAGATCAGTACTGGATCCTCAGCTCTCACCGGCTGCTTTAAGCAAATGCTTCAAATCTTCTTCCATCGGCGAGAGAGGAGAAATCCATTTCTGTCTTCTGATTAGCTGAAATAAATGGTCAGAGCCTTAGCGGTTAGTACATGTGCTCCGACACTTTGAGCTGTGGTGCTCCTGTGGGAAAGTGTTTGAATCTGGCTCATCCCTTTAGCCCATACTCATTATTCTTGAATTGAGTTGATAATTATTGAATTTCCTGTCGGCATTTTCTCAGCCTCATATAATATAATGTTTATTATTATTATTATAACCATTTATTTTTTGGCATATTAAAAATGACATAAAGCCCATAATATTATTTTTAAAAGTGGTCCATATCAGGTCACTTATTTTATTGTATTTTATTATTATATATACAATTTTATTTTTATTTTATTTTTCTACTATGTTTGCTGTTAAGCTTGAAAAATTATATATTAAGCCCCAATGAAACTATTTTAAAAGTGGTCAATATGTATGTATATATCCGTGTATATATATATAAAGATACTATATTCAAAATAATTTATTTGATTTTATTTACTGTAGCTCTGAGATTACAAGGTGAAATGTAACCAAGTGAAAAAGTGATATCCATCTATCCATCTATCTATCCATTCATACAGTCATACATGCATTCATTGATTCATACATATATACATACTGTACATACATAAATTCATACATACACACATGCACTATACATGCAACATCACTTTTACTTAGATGTAGAGAAAGGGATCTTTTCAATTTGTGGAAGGCATGAAATTGCCTGTTTAATTGACTTATTTTCAATATAGTGAAGCACGTTTCCTGTTTATTTTGTTGAGATTAGAATTTAGTCTGGCATGTGTAGTTCAGGGTCTCAGCACGGTTGATTCTGAATCATCATATAAACATTACATTCTCCAACACAGCTTGGAATTCAGCCATCATCAAAAACTGCACACCCAAGAGTGTATTGTATGCCACTCACCCATGCAGAGGACTTACCTGGAATTGAATGTGTCTTGCTTGAAGCTCAAATCACTCTCCCCAGCTACCTCTTGTCTCACATGTCTGCCTGGACATTAGGCGTAATGAAAGCCAAACGTCACCTGTCAGGGAGAGTTGGAAATGACGCAGATCAACTGATCCTACCTCCCTGTTAAATGTTGTCACACTTCATACTTCATTATGGCTTTGAAGCGGAACCCGCTGCCCGCTGAATGCAAATGAGGTGCGCTCGACCTGATGCGCTCGCAGCCATCCGGACAGAGACGAGGAAGCAGGCAGATGCTGAGCAGGGATCATTAGAGAAAATGACAGGAAAATTAATAAAACTTTGTTTGGGGATAGTTCATATCAAAATGAAAATCGTCATTATTTCTTTTATCTGTTGAACCCAAAAGAAGATATTTTGAAGAATGTTGCTGGTAGCCATTGAGTTCCATAGTATGAAAAAAACAAATACTATGGAAGTCAATGGCTACTGGCAACTGTTTCATTTTGGGGTGAACTATTGCTTTATTAT